TTATAATTCCAAAGCGTTTTCAAAGACGGATTTACCGGTCTGGGCGAATCTTGCGTGGGGATTATATTTCTGATGTGATTGCGTTTCCACTTCTCCAATGGTAGTTACAGTTTCTGATATATCTTTTAGAGACCGGCTCGAGGAAAATCCCACGATCGGGGGGCTTAACAACGTCTTACATGGAAAGCGATACTCTCGTGATAAGGGTGAAGGAGAATTCGGGGTCCGCACAACTGAAGAAGTTGACCGTATCAGGGGTTTATGGAAGGTCATTTTACGCTAGGCAAACAATGATTCGTGAATCCTATTGTCGACATCGTGGATAAAATAAAGTATCTAGCGTGATGGCGTTACTCCAGAAAATTTACTCTTGGTTTCTTCATCAATGATCTACTAGCGCTAGAAAAATATTATTCTAGGAAAATCCACTAATCTTATAGAACTTTCCACTGCTATGTACTTTTCAACATCGCAAACGAGTCAGGATAACTTGGTGTCTTCTGTTTTTGGGAATATTTTTCCATGGGAGTACTGATGTTTTTACTTCTGCTAGCTTAGAGGTGGAATTGTACCACTGAAGTTGCCAATTGTTGATGATTTCTTGTTTGTAGAAAGATTTCAGGTCAATGTGATTCATTTTGAGTTCAGTATAAGTCAATGGATTTGATATGGATGCTTTCGCCAGTTGATCTGCTCTTTCAATGCCTGGGACACCCACATGAGATGGGACCCACATGAATCTGATTACTGCTTGTCTTTGTTTGAGTACATGAAGCTCTTGTTTTATGGAAAGTATAATGGGACTTTGGGTGTTCGATTGATTCATTGCCAGAAGAGCACTCATGGACTCTTTTATAATGAGGCATTTTCTAATGGCATTGTTGCTGATTACATCGAGATCTTTCAGAACCGATTTTTTGGCAGAGTTATACACTATAGATCCATAATCCAATTTTGAACGTATCAAAGATTTATAGATGAGCATGAGTGTAGCGGAGTCCGATCCCCAGTTTCTTGAGGCGATTTTTTTCATAAGGTTCAGACCGTTCTGACAGAATTTTTTTTAAATGATGAATGTGAGATTTCCAGTCGAATCTTTGGTCAAATATCAGTCCCAAAAATTTAATGCTTTCAACGTACTCAATATATTCCCCAACCATCATCAGTTTAGGTGGGTGTTCATTAGGTCTTTTCGGGAAGTGTACACGTTTTGTCTTTTCGAGTGATATTCGAAGGCCTGAATATGACGACCATTCCTCTAGATTGATCATGAATCTCTGTAGATTGTTATGTATTGAGATCGGATTCTTTCCCTTGCCAAAAACTACGAGGTCATCTGCATAGAGTCTTGTTTTGAGAAGTTTTGAACATTTGTCAGTAATATTGTTGATGGCTACGAGAAATAAAGTGACACTCAGTGAAGAACCCTGTGGAATCCCATTCTCCTGAATTTTGGAGGAAGACAACGCCCCATTGGCTCTGACACGGAATTCGCGGAATTTTAGGAAGTTTGCAATGAAATGCATGATGTTTCCTCCGAATGACCGCTTCTGTAGGGTGTCTAGGATTGAGTACCGCCATACAGTATCATATGCTCTTGTTATGTCGAAGAAGACTGCAATGCAGTCTTGATCGTTTGCTAATGATTCGTGAATTTCGGACTCAAGATCAACCAGATTATCCAGTGTGGAATTTTTTTTTTCCGGGATCCGCTTTGTTCAGGTATAATGAGATTCTTCTCTTCTAGCATATTTTTATTATTGTTGTGAAAAATGTTGGTTCGTAGATTCACGAGATCAAATTTTCTATTCACGAAAAGCTTTTGGGGCCTTGGAAATAGTTTACCAAAACATAGATGTCCTCTACTGAATCAATGTGATTCCAGATTCTGAAGAAATTTATCCAGATTAAAGAGTTACTTTACGCTCATATTTTTTCCTGGAATTCCAAAGCTTTCCAACATCTTCTGCATAATTTCCCTATGATTTGGTGCTTTATTCTCAGTTTTCTACCACCAACACGCTTCAATTCCAGAATTATTCATAACATTCATAAACATGAAAGAATCATGTTTGAATCTCTCATCAATTTCATCAACTTTTCCATACTCTGCACAGCATACTCCATCATGTACAATGCTTTTTTGCTTTGCAACATCATATCTACTCAATAATGGCTCATTTATTATATTGGCTTCACCAACAGTTGAGTATTCATCTGGAGATCCACACATTTTGTTCCCAGTGAACTTGCTTCGCTCTACTATCCAACAAGCAGGGGTAATTCGTGTATCCACTTTGCTAATCAAGTGAAAAGTTAATAATTTTCAAATCAACGCAAACCGATCATTGATGTTCATTGTAATTATTATTTTGCAGAATCAATTTAATATTCTGATAATTTCCTTTGTTGAAAGCAAGATGCAAACATCTAGAAGTAGGTTGAGTTTGGTTAGGTCCAAAGTGACTGTGTTTATTCAACCTTCCACCGCAACCCGCAAGGAATTGTTATGCCTCACACCTATTCATACTTGGCCAAGTAAACCAAGCTTCTTAACGGAGTCGCTTAGTTTGTATGGTGAGTGGTCTTTCAGGTCAGATGGTGAGAGTACGGCTCTGCCGAACTCTGAAAACCTGATTCGGTTATCAGCAGGGCAGGCACAAAGTATGTGCTCTGCTGATTTATTATTTCTCAAGCAGAGGCGACACACACTGGTTTACGACAGTCCGAGTCTCTGTATATGATGATTCAAATGACAGTGACCTGTGAGAAGGCCTGTTAGACAACGTAGTTCATCCCTACTGTAGTCCAACAACTGTTTGGTATCAAGCTTCGAAAGGTGAATGAAAGCCTTGGAGTGAGCCAGTCCTGGAAGTCCATAAATCTTCCTGACATCCAAGCGTTCAATCTTTGTATGGCAAAGCCTAAAGCGATGCCAATGAAGGGTTTTGGTCCGATGAAGCTGGTTGCAGCACCCTCCTTTGCGAAGGAGTCGTTACCTTCCAGGACAGTATGGCCAGGAATCTAGACCAGAGACAATCTGTTGAGTCTTCCTATCGAAGACAGTCGTTTTTGGCAATTTGCTACTAATTCAGACGTTGCTTGGTAGGAGCCAAGAGCTTCCAACGCCGTGTGACTGTCCAAGAATATTTTTATTGACTTGTGTATGAGGTTGGATTCTTCCAATCTCTCCGCACACAATTTAATAGCGTAAATTTTCGCTTGAAGTACAATCGCATAGGTTCTTAGGCAGATTGATATCTTTGTCCTATGTTTGCGACTGAAAATACCTGCACCGGAACCGGAAAGTGTTTTTGATCCATGTGTGAACCAACAACTATCTGCTCTTGATATTTCCTTCTCCAGTAGGACCCAGATCTACATATAGAAGTGACTTCGAGATATCATCAAAGTAAATGAACTTCAGAACGATATTTCATTATATTGAGAGTTTACAGAGAGTGTACCTACATTATCAATTACTTCATGTACAAAAGACGATACATGAAGAAGTCTCATATAATGCATCTTCAAACAGTGGAATCATTTCACTTCGTCGAAAACATGATCACGAGTATTTTTTGTTATCTCAGTGATCATCTATGTAGGGAAAATAAATGAAGTCAGCATACTTCGAATGACTCAGAAATAATGATTTACACAACGACGTTTTTAAAACCTATTCATATTTCTTTACTACAATATAATTCGCTCAATGTCATGTAACTTCTACTGATGACATTTTTATACGTATTCTGAAGTGTAGGTGTAAAAAGCTCAAACTCTCAACTGTAGCCCTCGGTTCGAATGTTACACCATCAATCTTAATATCATGAATGCTGCTCGTTTCGGAATTTATATTTTTAAAGTAGATCAACTGAGAGTTGGTGTGATTCAACTTCAAGCCACGATTTGTGAAATATTAATATAGTTTTCCTAGCGTATCCTCTATAAATCAATTCTGGTTCCGTAGAACTATCTATCAACCTGCAAAGTTATGGTCACTGCAATAATCAAGAAGGTATTTGTGGTCATTAGTAAATGTCAAGAAAAGTAGTGGTCCTAGTAAGGAACCTTGTGAAACATTTCGTTTATTGAGGATTGAATCTGATGCAGGTTCCTCAACTACAACTTTTCGACAACGATTGAATGGATAGCTTTTGATCATTTTAATTTCATTTTATAAAAAGCAGCAATATTTTCATTTTCCTTGGCGTAACTAGTAACTCGAAGTTCCAAACGCTTCAAAAGAGCAGCAATTTCACTTTGCATAGTTACTTTCAGTATATAATGAAAGACAAGGTTTCACAAATCTCAATTATTCTATCAGAACTATTATCAACTATCTGCATTGAATAGAAAATGATTATCATCATCATTGATAGAGAGTCGCCCCGTTGACCCAATGGAACTATTACAGCTGTGTATTTCGATCGAAGACACAAATAGAGCCTTGCGATAAAATTATGTATTTCAGATATTGATTGAAATTTATCCTGTTTTATTTCAAACAAGGCGATTATTGTGGGATAGTTTTGAAATATATATTATTAAATGCACTTTCTATATTCATCAAGAGATTTTACAGATGTCAAGATCTAACAAATATGAAAAATGTAATTGAATGGTCATACAACAAAACTTGTCACATGTAGTCGGAATAGTTTATCCAATCAAGTTAGAGGTAGCACAAAATTATTCAACAAAATCGACCTGCCATGTTGGTCGGTGATTCAAGACCCAGGCTGAACGATCAATTTTCACATGCCATCGTCCAACCTATGTTAGGAATCACACGTTAAAAGATAAGAACTCGTTAGTCCTTATCTCGCACAAGTTTCGACTTCTGAAGGTTGTCGTTCGTAAGGGTGCGACAGCTGGTTAACAAAAAAATATATAACATAACATATTTCAAACATATTCGAATTATACTCTAAAAATCAGTGATATTCATTAAAACTCACATTTCTCAAAAGTATGACTTTTGTTTCAGCTCTTCCGAAAGAAAATCCCAGAATTGAGGGCCTTTCAAAATCATATATGGAAGGGGAAACTCTATCTGCTAAATGCACTTCGGACTATGCCGATCCAGAGCCAATACTAGTTTGGAAGATCAACGGACAAGATGTGAGTACCTAAAAACAATCTTAAACAAGAGTGAGGATTCCATATTTCAAAATATACTTCCATTTTTTCTACACAAGCTTATTTCGTGTCCAACTCATTAGCTTTGTTGTTCAATCCTAAGTCATCCAAATTGATATTTTCAAAGTAATAAATAGTANTACCAACTGTTGGTGATGAAATATTTCATTTGTTGAAAACTCAATATACATATATATAATATAATGATACTATATCTTGAAAACAAGAGCTAATATATAATTTTTATGGTCACTTTCGGATTTAACATGTGGAAATACATTAAAATCATCTAATTTCAACCCCGAAACAAAAACTTTGTTGTGTTGTGTTTTTTGTCACAAAATTCAATATTCACGAATATCTTTACTTAAACAGCTCGTATATTCAGGTCTATTTCCTCGTAAATATTGTAAACTGCAGACAGCTCATTTTTCAATTCTCTTATTTTATTGTGCTCCTTGTCTTGGGACTGCTATGGCCTTTTTCCACCATTAATGACTAATCGTGCTTCCGCCCCAAATAACTAGATAAAATATGCAACAAACACTGTCTTGTAATTTTTTATAATGATTTGAACCTTATAAGAGTACAGTCAGAATAAACCTTGTTTTCTCTATAGCACGATTTGCCAGTTATTAATCTTATCTTTCTTACCCACAAGACTTAATATAACTCTTGTATGTAGTAATTATTCATACTTACGATGAAACAATCAGAGGTCAAAACATTCGTGTTCTGGATAATAACTTCCCGAGTCACCTATAATGACAGTTATGTAACGCGATAGAATTTTCATCTATTTTCTACTAAAAAATCCCACGAAAATGACATATTATCGTTAGAAGTGATACCTACTATTAAATTTGGAACCCAGAGTCATTGATCATTAAATTTGCTTGGCAAATTACTTACGAAAACTCATAAGTTCGGCAGCAACTTCAATGAACTTTATTGCTTATTTCTAAGATTTCATTAGATAATAACAATATGAATGAAATCAAAATTATTGGTAATTCAACTGTTTTTAGACCAATGAAAAATTAATTTTTCGAGATCTGGAACAATTTCATATTAATATTTCTATTTCTTAAGGACGGTGTTGACACAAAAACATTTATTGATATCTGGAACAGTTATTCATCATATGAGAACGAGTATTGAATAGTTTGTACAATATTTTAGTCAGAAAGGTGATTGAGCTCACTGCCAAAGTGAGGATGATCTTGTCAAGGAATTTGGCATTGAATGTAAAGAGGAAGACTGAAGACTTTTCGTAGACTCATCAAAAACAAGTTTGAAAAGGGTATCATTACACAATAGAAATACCCATGGCTCATTGTCCGTTTCTCATTGGGTCCACATGAAAGAAACTTACGGAAATCTCGATAACATTTTGAAGAACATCAACCTTACAGATCATGATTGGATTCTGTGTGAAGATTTGAAAACTATATCTATGTTTCATGATCAAAAAAAGGTCAACAGAGTTCAAATGGTTTATATGTGAATGGGACAGCAGAGCAAGGGAGCAGTATTAGTCCAATAAACAATTCTCCTTTCAAACAACATTTTGACACTCGGCTACAATAATATTTCGCAAACAACTTCTGTTGATCCTGAGAATATTCTTTCACCACCAGTAAACATCAAATTGGGCTTAATGAAACAATTTGTGAAAGCTTTGCCTAAAGATGGTGCTTGTATCACATATTTGCAAAGATTACCTCACTCATCGTTAGGCCGGATATTCGTGAATCGATGTTCGATTCCAACTTCTAATCAACGATGAATACAAAGATAAACAAAGTTTGGACCATTTAGAGAAATTGTCACAAAGTTTTTAAGCTATGGGAAAGCCCCAAATTATAAACTATAACATGAACAATTTCAAAAAACTTGGTTGTCTGATGATCCTCAAAGTTAACTTCTCGCACAACAATCTTGATTTCTCATCCGAAAACTCAATTGATTTAAGTGAAGAGCAAGAGGCAAGCCTTCACCAAATAATGAAAGAAATGAAGAAACGACATCTGGGACGGTTGAATATCAACATGATGGGTGATTACTACTGGTCACTTCACAGAGGACCGCAAAATGCATCACATCGGAGAAAAAGCTGTGCAAGAAACTTTTTGGGGTAAAGGAAGAGAATATACAATATAATGAACATTTAACGAAATTAGTTATTTGATATTTTTGTAAGTGAAAATTGTTAACCTACTGAAAAACAGAATTTTTAATAGAACCCTAAAGATGTCGGAACTTTAAAATTAATATTTTTCAGCTTTTTTTCAATAGGCAAACTTGTCGAACAAGTTACAAATACATAGCCCATTTTCCTACATGAAAAATATATTGAATGTATGCAGTTTACTATCGGGGTCAACTAGAAATTTGCCGTTTCTACGTTTGTGTAAAGTCCATCATCACAATTTTTATTTTTGATGTAGCTTGTTCTGTATTATTTTGATCTATTTATGAACGTCTCACGTAAACGATTTATTCACCGATATTTTGCTAATGCAGAGTTTTTGGAATCATCTTCGGACTGTACTCACCTGATTCTATTGGGTCGCTTCAAAAGTTTTGCCCGTTTTTATGAGTCTGATTCGAACTGTAATATATCAGTGAATACTCATTCAATTCAATCAAAGTAAGCGCCAAATGGATCAGTGTACTTTTGCCAACGTAAGTCGATTGATTCCGTAAGCATGCAAATGGTGTGATCTGGATTTGATGAAGTCTAGGAAGGCCGTTTTTTGTTGTTCCTGATTAGCGAAAGTTACACCAATGAGAAAGTTATTGAAGTGTTCGACCGTCCACCGCAACTATCAAGGGTTTATTGTGGCTGACACCTATTCACACTCGACCAAATCCCAGCTTTTTAATGAAGTCGATTGATATGTATGGTGAGTGGTCTTTTAGGTCAGATGGTAAGGTCCTGCCGAACTCTCAAAACCTGATTGGGTTCCCAGCGGGGCAGGCACAAAGTATATGCTCTGCTGTTCCATCATTTTCCAAACAGGGGCGACACACACTGTCTTCCGACAGTCCTAGTCTCTGCATTTGATGAATCAAATGACAGTAACTTGTAAGAAAGCCTTTTAGACATCGCAGTTTATCACTAATGTAGTCCAACAATTGTTTGGAATCAAACTTCTAAGGGTGAATAAACGCCTTGGAGTGAGCCAATCCAGGAAGATTCCGCCAGAAATCCAAAATTCTTCTTGCCATCCAGGCTTTCAATCTTTGTCTGGCAAACCCTAAAGCGATGCCAATGACAGATTCTGGTCTGATGAAGCTGCTTGCAGCACCCTCCTTCGCAAGGGAGTCAGCAGCCTCATTGTCTGCCAGGCCAGTATGGCCAGGAATCTAGACCAGAGGCAATCTGGTGTTTGACGCTGGATTCTTCCAATCTCTCCGCACACAATTCAATAGCGTAAATTTCCGTTTGAAATACAGTCGCATAGGTTCCTAGGCAGGTTGATATCTCTCCTTGGTCTGCGACTGAAAACACCTGCACCAGAACTGGAAGGTGTTTTTGATCCATCTGTGAACTAACAACTATCTACTCTTGATATTTCCTTCTCCTAGAGGATTCAGCCCTCTATACTCGGTAACATTACTTTATAAGACAGTCGTAGTTGACAGTTGGAGGCATGAAGTCAGAGATCATTTATAAAATGTTGTGACTTCCAGTGTCAACCAACAGTCTTTTGCACTCGCAATAGGAATCTTACATGATTAGGCCCGGTTACAGCAAGAATCACACTAGACGCTGACCACCACACAGTGATCATGGTCTCTTTCGAAGAGTTTTCACCTTTGGGAAGTGTCTGGGTCGACAATTTCTGTCGATCGTTCATATCGTTGGGCATACACGTATTGGAGAGGTCAAAAACCTCTCCAATACGTTTTGAACAGTCAAAAATTACATGGAAACTGACGCCGAGTTCTTCCACCATCCCTATCTTCGTTTGTGATGGGTCAGTCTCCAGCAGGGTCTTCGAAACCTCGTCCTGGATTACTATAGGTCGGCCACTTCAGGGCTCATCTTCGAGGCTAAAATTTCTAGAAAGAATTTTCGCAAAAGAACGTCAAACAGTGTGTTCATTGCCAATCACCTGATTCATTTTTCAGGCTGTTTCTGCAGCGTTTCAGTTTAATTTTGATTCGTAGAGAAAAATTCGCCTAAAATCATCTGCCATTTCTGTAGAGTAAGGAGAGTGTAGGCCCAAAGCACTTAAGCCACATGTAACCCATCGTACATTCTCCCGAGAAGTTGTCCTCCTAGGTCTTCGTTCATTCTATCCTTTCCAGAAAGGTGGACAGATCACTAGGAGACATCTATTTATATCGACAGGTGTAGGCCAAGACTCGCCGAACACACACTCTCTTATTGACGATAACTTCGGACACTCGCAAAGGACATGCTTGAAAGTTTCATCTTCCTGTTCATACATCCTGCATAGAGGTGTGTCCACTAGCCCCATAATATGGAGGTGTTTCCTTAGTTGACAGTGGCAAGTCATAAATCCTACTGTTAAGCGTAGGTTTTTCCTGGTCATCACCAGATATTCCAAAAATCACCTAATGACATCAAACATTGATAGGCTGAAAAGAGGTAAAAATTTGAAGAAAAAAGTATGATGGATAGAGTGAAAAATTCTCAATCGATTAGTATATAACACGAGACAGTAGAACGAATATTTTTTGAGATATAGAGCTACGAAAACACATGACATTAAAACGAACAAAACTTTTAAATCAACCCAATACACACACACTAATATTCCATCCACACCCACTATATTGTCAAGTCGGAAAACAATTTACGTGAATTATGAAATACTTTCTGTTCACAAAAGAGCATGGAAATTATCAGTTTATATATTGAAATAGTAGTCAGTTCAGTGATTGAACTACTTCTTCGTTCAAAATTGCACTCCACTCAGAAATTGTCGTTTTATTTATGCATATTT